CCTGATAACTCTAGTAAATGAGAACTATTCCTAGAACTTTCTTCAGAGAGCAGAGAGAACATCAAAGTCAGTGTTACCTTTTCTTTCAGATCTGGGGACTGTGCTAACCTTGACATTTTATATAGCTATTATACTATTTTAAATGTTTTCAGATATATACTCCTTCATAATTAGGATAAGAAAGCTGAGTTCTCCAGTACCACAAAATCAGCAATCTTACTGCTGCTATGTCCTAATGATGATATCTGGCAATGCTTAGCAAAGCCCAGGTAGCTGTTCCATGGTCTCATCACCCTGCCCATTGTAGGATGCATCACTGAGCCAGCACTGAATTAGAGTTGCTGACGGATTCCACTCTGCTGCCACAGAGGGAGAGGGCCAGGGCCAGGATCCTGCATGGGCTCACACAGCTCAAAGCAATGTGCCATGATGTTTGTGCTAAAGAGCGAGCTGGCTTCACTGACAAAGTGTACTCTTTTAACAAGCTGGCTCTCCAGGATTTGTCTTCCTTAAAGAGATCTGCCAACTAAAAAAGATACCACACTAAGGAAACCCACCTCAAAAATTATTCTTCAATATTAGATAGATGATCTCCCTGGAATGGCAGTGATATCCAGTCATTCAAACTAATAAAGCTCCACTAACCCTAACCAAAGGCACATTTGGTAAGCAATAAAAAATGGCTTAGGCTAAAATGAGGATTTTCTTTTAAAATAAATCTTATCCCCTGGCTCCTACCAAAGATAAAATCAGAAAATCCTAAAACAAGCAAAACTTTTCTTTCAAAGCAGTGGTTTCCAACTTGTTTTTCAAGTTGGTCACTACTAGAAAGGGAGTGGAAGGCAAGGTAAATCAAATCTTGCAAGTTCTAAGTCTTAAAGTTAGCACTTATGAGTGGCAAAGCTTGTGATGCACTGGGAAGTGATGGTCAGGGTGGGATGCAGGGAGAGCCATGACAGATGAAGAAACCTTTGGTGATGCAATTCAAGGACTTCCTAGGGTAGAAGGAGTAAGTGAAGACAGTAAAATCTAACAAAATGTATAAACTATATGGAGTGACCAAGAAGCACGGACTGCTGCAAACTAGCACCTGGTTAGAGATAGTTGTCCTAAGCAAAAGATCAAGGCTAAGCCTGAAACAAATTCTATTGGAAGAAGAAGAAAAAGAAAAAAAAAGAAACTATTAGATGTTTGATTATGTCCAAAAAGAAAAAGAATGAGCCACCCTTCTTATCAAGGGAAATAAACCTAATTACTTAGAAACCACATTAGGAAACTAGACAATAAATCAACAGCCTTATTTTGGAGATTACTAGAGTCCTAGAATTTCTGGCAAGGTAGTTTGAAAAAGGCAAGCTCTTCTTTAAACATGGTTACAGTTCAGCAGTGATTTGTAGGTCCTTGTCAAGGCACTGTGCTGGAGGAGAGAGCAAAGAGCTTTCTTTATGTGCTTTTTTTTTTTTTTTTTTTTTGAGGTGGAAATACTTCTTGTGACATTCAAGGCTCTTTACTGATTTTTTTGCTGCTCATACAAGCAGTCCCATGCGAGTGACTTTGGCCGACAAGAATGTGTGCAACACAAATACTATCGGCTTCGGACAGGAGTGCAGGTCCATGGTCTGTGGAGAAAGGACATTAATTATCACTGCTATATACAGATGCTTTAATAAACAAACATGCAAAATAAACAAATTTGGACACGATGTTCTACTTTTTAAAAAGAACTTGGATAATGGATGTGCCAGATTTATGGCAACTCTTCGGAACTTAGAGCCGCAAATGGAAGTGTACTCTGAAGTAAGGTTATTCTATGTCAAAATTAAACACCAGTGTGAAATTTCACATCCACAATTAGGACACTATTGGTGGTGTACTAGATTTCACCATGCTACGTAGGAAGATGTAAAGGAAAGAGGAATATCCTATATGGAAACCACTGACTGTAAGTATATTCCCCAGGGGGAATCACAGTGAATTCAGCTGAAGTGTGACCATCTATGTGTATGATTTTTGATACCCCTTATCGGTTTGTGGTGGGAATGACAACCCTTGAAGCTAGTTGGGAGGGCTAGTTATACCTTTCTAAGCACAGGTCTCTAATTTGGACAGCTGACATCAGATGAACAGGCTTTTGAAGTCCATGGCTATCCATAGTTTCCTAAAGGTTCATCATTTAAAATAAGATTTCTAGGGCTTCCCTGGTGGCGCAGTGGTTGAGAGTCTGCCTGCCGATGCAGGGGACGCGGGTTCGTGCCCCGATCCGGGAAGATCCCACATGCCGCGCAGCGCCCAGGTCCGTGAGCCATGGCCGCTGAGCCTGCGCGTCCGGAGCCTGTGCTCCGCAACAGGAGAGGCCGCAACAGTGAGAGGCCCGCGTACCGCAAAAAAAAATTAAATAAATAAAATAAAATAAAATAAAATAAGATTTCTAGCCACAGTTTTCTCATTTGGAGTTTGAACTTCATTATCCCTAAGATCTGTTTCAGTTCTAAAATTTCAAGATTCTGTTTTTCAAATTTACACCTATCATGACTGTGTCAATGGACATAAGATTTCACGTATAAGACAAGACTTGAACTACTGGCTCAATATTGATAAGAGAGAAAAGGCATGACTTTGACTTCTTTATCATGATTTCTGATTTCTGAAGTTCACTTGACACACTTCTCTAGTTCTCCAAGGGGACTCATGAATTCCTGTTGATATTTCCTTTAAAGGACAAGGAAGTCAAAAAAGATGATGGCGGGCTTCCCTGGTGGGGGAATGGCCATGGCCGCTGAGCCTGCGCGTCCGGAGCCTGTGCTGCGCAACGGGAGAGGCCACAACAGTGAGAGGCCAGTGTACCACAAAAAAAAAAAAAAAAAGATGATGGCTGTATGTACATATCTCCATATCTTTTTTTTCTGATCAGCAGAATTTCTGTAGCAACTGTCACTTTATTACTTTTAACTCTTATCCCAACAAACTGCTGATAATATCAATGGATAGAATTTATTTATTAAAGTTTGCCAGCTTTAGTATTTTGTACCTTATATTTGTTAAAAGCCTGTTTCTTAAAACGGCTATTTTTCTTTCTAAAATTCAAACAAAACTTTTAAAAAAGGGAATGATTTCCTAATGTGGGAAAAAAAAACCCCAGTGAAACCCCAAAACCAAACCCGTGCATCTTTGAAACCTGAAGAAGAATTTCCTGGCTCCAAATGGAATATCAGTCTGTAAGCCCATAATTTTCTATAGAAGAGGTAAGAAGCAATAGGAAGAAAGAGAATACCTATTAGAATAAACATGTTTTTCAGAAACACGCTTACCAGTTCTCCCTCAGGACCACCAAAATCCAGATACAGATTTCTGATGCCATCATCAGCAGACATTTTCAGCCTTTCGAAGGGGTAGCGGTACAATATGCTGCTGGAACCTCCATTTTCCCTGGAGATAGTGAACCCACTTTCATAGTGGACAGTGAGTCTTACCTCTTGGCCATTTAATGTGCAGCCTATTGAAGACAAGAAAAAACATCATTAATAAAGTTACTACTTCAGTTAGAAAGTGATAAAGGCTTCTCCTGACTTCTAAAAAGGGAAAAGAATTTTCTTGAGAATGTGTGATACCTAACCTATTTGGAACATCCTGAAGTGAGTTTTGTTTTGGTCACTCAAGTCAACATCTTGATTGAGATGAGGAAGAATTTCCATAACTTTCCTTGATATCTGATCTGATTCAGTTCAATTCAGTGAGTACCAAGTGAATACTTGTGCTGACAGTAGGCTGTATATGGTACTGGAAAAGTAAGAGGTATGGTCCCTGCTCTCAACACCTCACAAACGACAGGCATAGACATGAAATCCCTAACTGCTTAAGGTAGATGGTATAGAACATGACTGAACACCAAACTGAATAAGGCCAAAGTCAAGGAAAGGTTTCCTGGAGATGGGACTTGAGAAAGGCCCTAAAAAACGCTCACATTTGATAGGTAGTGAGAAGTAAGAATAAGGTTTCAAGTGGGCAAGAAGGATGAACAACCAAAGGAGAAACAGCAGAGGCAACTTTCAGGGCAGTAACATGGATTGGTTGGTATTTGAGAAGTCACACTGTCAGTCCTATCAAAGATAAAATTCAAAAGATATATCTGAATTGATGGGACCAAAAAAACCGATCATCAAGACTGGCAAATGTCTTCTGTCAAGACTGGTGAAGTCCCTGTTTCACTAACACTTGAGCAGTTTTGTTGTCAGTACAGAGGCTACAAGTGAAAGGCCCTCTGCGACATGGGAATTAACATAGTCCTCTGAGAGCTGAGTTTACAATCACCTAAAGGACCAGAGTCGAGTGAGGCTTGGTCACTGTGAACAGGAAGAATGGCTCCCAAACAAGCAAGTCCTCATACTCAGACCAATGTATCCTTGCGCTGGACATGAAAAACACTCAATTAGTCAAGGCAGCTGGCATGTTCAAGAAATAAGGAAAAGGAATAACAAATATTGGCAGTGTCCCTTTTCAGCACTACTCGAATAGGAGAGTTCTGAACAGTGAACTTTGAATATTAATTACCTTCAGAGAAGGAACCTGGTGGGGGGGGGGACATGGATAAAATTAACTACCTGTGGAAGTAATCTAATGCAATAATCTCTAAATGACTGGCTGAGGGGTTTGGAAGAAGAACAAAAAGATCCCAATCAAGGCAACCAGGGTACAGTTTTCAAGAGAATTTTATTCTATTAATATCCCTGAAGCTATAACTTAGTAGGGTATTGAGGTCTGATGATAAGAGAGGGGTCAGTTCTAGTCTAGAAAAGAAATGCTCAAAGAATGAGGTCCACCCAAGTCCTTACAGCACTGGCTGGAGAAGGTCCAGTGCAGGCGGGGGAGGATTTCAGCCTGCATGTGTGTCCCTAGTGGAGCGAGATCTGGCAATCAAAGGCAGCCAGCAAAGGCAAGCCATTAATCCTCAACAAGCTTTTTGTATAAGAGATTTCTTAAATGTTCTGCTTAGGATTGTTTCCCCTCAGGAGGGAAGGAAAGGAAAGGAAAGGACAGCAAATGTCAGTGTCTGTGTGTATTACTTTAAAAAAACAGAATACTGTTTAAGATTACCTCAACCTTGAAAAGGAGAAGTAAAGGTCATACTGAGTATGTTTAGGTTTATAACTCAGTTTGTCGAAAACTTATAATACCAGATAATTTTGAATGAGCATATGAACTGGCCATAAAAATGTTGTGCCTAATAGTCTTAGTTAAATGGCTTCTCCCCGAGTAGTAATAAAACAGTTGAGGCAATGTGATTGCCTCACCCTCAGAGGGTCTCAGGAGTAATGAACCAAAGAGAAATAAGCCTCTGACTCTGATTTTAATGGGGGGGAGCCTGTGCTCCGCAATGGGAGAGGCCACAACAGTGAGAGGCCCGCATACCGCAAAAAAAAAACAAAAACAACAACAACAACAACCGAACCTCTGTTAAGAAAAGTAGGGATCTGGGGCATCAGAGGCTGTTCTCATTCCCTATTCCCTACCCCCAACTCCAACATGATGATTCTATCAGGACAGGACAAGCCATGAAAACCAGCAGCTCTGCTGCTTGGAGGGTGATGGCTTAATTTGGTGTCCAGAGTATTGTTGGAAACAAATGATCTTAGAAAATAAGTGGTAAACGATCACTGAAAATTAATATTACAGCTGGCTGAGACTGCAGCACTGGTTGGGGCAAGCAATAGAGCAGTCAGAAATTTAAGTGAGACCCAGGGAACAGTCGTAGTAGACCTTGATAAGCTCTCACGTATCCTTGGTGGTCTGGAAGGTGTGCCCATTTCCAAGGTTATGCACTGGCTGAATGTGAGGCCTTGCATATACAGAAAATAAAAGTTACAGCAGACTTAACTGAACTTTAAATGTGTTGCTCAAGTCATACACAGATACTCAGCAAAGGGTAAAGCCAAACTAGGCTCAAGATATTTAAGTACAACCTGTTACCAACCATTAGCTGACCACTAAACTATGCTGACAATCCCTAGGAAGTCAGGCTTAAAATTAAAAACAAGAATTAAAAGAAAAAAAAAACTGAGACACATCAGTGGCAGGGGAAACAGACTCTACAGACTTAGTCCAGGCAAGTTACCAAACAGCCAACAAACAACAGTAGCAGCAACAACCGCTGGTGAGGGGGAAGATCAGAATCGAGAGTTGCTATATTATCTAAAACAGAGGTCAGCAAACTATAGCCCATGGCCCAGTTATGGCCCATTGCCTGTTTCTTTTACATAAAGGTTTTTTGGAAGACATCTATGCTCATTCATTTACATATTGCCTATGTCTGCTTTCCCACTACAACAGCAGAGTTAGTTAGTTACAATAGAGACCACAGAGCTTGCAAAGCCTAAAGTATTTACTGTATGGTCCTTTATAGAAAACATGTGTTGGTCCCTGATCTAAAATGTTCAGTTTTCAACAAAAAAGTATGAGACATACAAATAAATAGGAAAGGGAGGCCTATATACAGAAAGAGGACACACTTAATAGAAATTGGCTCTGAGGGGGCCTAAATGTTAGACTTAACAAAGATTTCAAGGCAGCTGTTATAAATATGTTCAAAGAACTGAAAAAATAAACAAGTTTTTAAATTAAAGTATGACAACAACTCAATAGAGAATATCAATCAAAAGATAGAGATTATAAAACAAAACAAATGCCAGAGTTGAAAGGCACAGTAACTGAAATGAAAATTCACCAAGGGATTCAACAGCAGATTTGAGACTGCAGAAAAAAAGAATTAGTGACCTTGAAGATATATCAATAGAGATTATCCAATCTAAAGAAAAGAAAGGAAAAACGATGAAGAAAAATAAACACATACTAACATATGTGTAAGGGGAGCAGAGAGAGAGAGAGAGAGAGAGAGAGAGAAGGGCAGGCACCTATGAGAAGTGGCCCTATTCTGATGGGACAGAATCTGGGCCTCATTAACAAAGCTCTGAGCTGGTCTACATGGCTTATTATAACCATCCTGATGTCTTTTTTAAAAAAAATAAATTTATTTATTTATTTATTATTTTTGGCTGTGTTGGGTCTTTGTTGCTGCGTGCGGGCTTTCACTAGTTGCGGCGAGTGGGGGCTACTCTTTGTTGCGGTGTGAGGGCTTCTCATTGTGGTGGCTTCTCTTGTTGTAGAGCACGGGCTCTAGGCACGCAGGCTTCAGTAGTTGTGGCACACGGGCTCAGTAGCTGTGGCTCGTGGGCTCTAGAGCGCAGCCTCAGTAGTTGTGGCACACGGGTTTAGTTGTTCCGCGGCATGTGGGATCTTCCCGGGCCAGGGATCGAACCCGTGTCCACTGCATTGGCAGGCGGATTCTTAACCACTGTGCCACCAGGGAAGTCCCCATCCTGATGTCTTGATTCAACTAAAATCCTTTTGGAGGGCTACAAATCCATTATCCACCTCAATTTAGAGATAAGAAGTGGTAAGAAATTTGTTTTTTTGGCTGCACCTCATGTCATGCACCAGGGATTGAACCCACGCCCCCTGTAGTGGGAGCACAGAGTCCTAACCACTGGACCACCAGGGAATTCCCAATGGTAAGAAATTTAATATACTAATTTTATTGACAGGGTAGTTGTTAGAAATATTAAAAAACACACAACAGCAGCATCCAAGGACAATCATAGGACATCAAATATTGAAGCTTAAAAGAGAGGAAGAAACTACAGTTTTTGAGGTAATCAAGGGAGGGAGATAAACAGTCAGCACTCAGAAGTGGGTGCTTTGTGCTCCTTGTGTCGGGTACATCGTGGATTGATGGTGGGCAGAGCTGATGATAAGGGAAGCAACTTCATGAGCCTGCACTCAGAATAATCTGAAAACATACATGAAGACTAACTGTCCAGTAGAATTGTGAATTACGTTTTAGTTTTTTTGGTTTGTTCATTAATTCATCATTCATATTTTTAAAAAATTCTCTGCTCTCATAAGGCAGCAGAGAAGACAGACAGGTAATCACAACCAATCTATACTTGAAAAAAAATGATTTTGAGGACTTATTATGTGTCAGACACTGTGTTAGGTGCAGGGAGATACAGAGCTGAACAAAAGATGGTTCCTGTTTAGACAAGTGAGAAAGAAAAGGAAATATGGATACAGCAGAATGAAGTAAGTGCTATAATAGAGAAGTGGACAAAATACTGTGGGAGGATAGAGGAGGGGGAAGTAGATAAACTCTGGGGAATTGGAAAAGGCTTAATAGAGGTACTATTTCAGTTAGGTTTAATAAAAAGTACTTTGGGGCTTCCCTGGTGGTGCAATGGTTGAGAGTCCGCCTGCCGATGCAGGGGATACGGGTTCG